ATTTTGTTTCTCCTTGGTTTAGTTATCAAGACCTTATTTATATCAGAGAAAAATATTATAAGGGTGCCTTTTCTTATTATTGCTAACATTTTATGTATTATTGGAATTAATTGTTCTTGGAATGATTGATAGAATTTACTTGTGTATCCATCTTATCCTGGAGGTTAGTTTTACTCTGGAAGCTCGTTCATGTCTTATGAAATTTTTTTTTTACTGCTAATTGGTTATTGAAACAGTTCATTTCTTTTTTATTAACCTGGACATTTGTATTTTTGTTAGTTTTACTGTATCATCTCTAAATTATCAGTATGTTGGCATATATCTGGGCAAAAATGATTTCTATTGGGTGTGGACAGTTTATGATATGTTTTGTATAACTCTAAATGGATATCCAGGATAGTTGGACCAATTCACTACCCCATCACGAGAGTACTAGTGTTCCTATATTTGTACAGTATCTCCAAAATTGACTGCTGCCATTTTTTGTCATCTTCATGAATCTGCAAAGCATAAAATACAACCTGAGTGGTTTTAATTTGTATTTCTCTTACTATCAGTGACTTAGATTATGTTTTCATGTGGTCATCTATACTTTACAGTTCTTTTGAAAATTGTTCACTTCTATTGACCTGTTTATCTATTTGAGAATGGTTCTTGGGGTTAAATGTGTGTTAATTATCTAAGAATTCAGGATATCAAACATTTATTAGTGATATTTGATGAAATATTTTCTCCACCATTTCTTTTCCCTTCATCCTGGTAGGTAGATAGATAAAACATGTAAGGACTTAGTGCCAAGAATTGTGCAAGTTGTTAGAGATACAAATAAAAGCAAGCTAGTCACTTCCTTCAAGGATCTGACATTTTAATATGAGAAGACAACACATAAAGTAGAGACGGAAAGGGGGTGGGATTAGTACCTAATTTTTTAGGTGAAATGGCATGGCTGCGGGTATGTGGGAAGTGTTGTGGAGGCCTGGAACAGAACCAGATGAAGGAAAAGCTGCCCTATCAAAGTCGAGGGGAGTTCCAGGAGTACAATCCAATTTTTCAGAGGCTGGAAAAAGAGAGAGTAGAGGTGAACTATATGATCAATAATGCTTATTTTATATTTTATGATCTTTTCTCTCACTCACTTAAGATATTTCCCCCAGTCATAGTTGTGAAAGGTACCTCACTTTGCTCTCATCTAACTATTTTTTAGGGTGTAAATGTTTATATTTAGTTCAAATAATCCATTTTGAGCTTATTATGATATATAGTATGAGATTCTAAACTGAATTTCTACCATATTGCTTTCTAGTTTTCAGGGCTGGACTTATCAAAAAGGGAATCCCTCCCCTTGTAAATTATACTCTTGGGTTTCAGCGTAATGTTGTGTTCAAAGGTTTCTGTTCATTCTTTTTCTCATCTCTTTTCCTTATCTATCTACACTTCTATTTTAACCACAACCAAAAAGATTCGATGTCTACTGTTTTATATTAGAATTTGAGGTTTTGTAATACCCTTTATCTATACCTTTTTTCTATTATTTCCCTTGGGACCAAAACTTTTGATTATCCAAATGAATTTCGTTACTATTTTATTTGATTGTATAAAGCATTTTCTTGGTAACTTGATTGGCATAACACTAAACTTAAAAATCAAAGGAGTTTTCATTTTAATCTCTCTCCAATTTTTTATATCTCCCTTTATTTCTATAAAAAGTTGTATTTGTGGAAAGATATTAAGACAGAAATGAAGATGAGCACCATGACTTACAAATGAGTCCAAATGTGCCTGAATTTATACGGCAACAAAGTTAATTGAGCCAACACCTGATGAGGCAGAGGACCCATGGATTCCCAAGAGAGCATGGAACCATAGAAGGATGTTAATGGTTCAAGAGAGAAATAAGAATAATGAAAGAAGAATTTATAGTTTGCACAGCAGAAATAATTGGCAGCAAAAACCAAAACCAAAAATAAAAACAGAAACAACTTGAATCCAGTCATGAGTGTCTCCAAAATAATGAGGAAACAACTGGCTGGTGATACAAATATATAGAAAGGAAGGACAATTTGGAAGAAGGGAATAAAAAAGCATTAATGTTAAAGAACACATGATGTATATACAAGCAAAATATATTGATCTCAAAGACAGTGTGAGCAAATACAACTTAAGGTGTATAAGGTCTCAAGAAGATCACAAGTCAAAAAATCTGAACACCAAAATGCAAGAAATAATACAAGAAAAATACCCAGGTCAGAATACGGAAAACAAAGGGCCAATCCAAAAATCTATAGTTCACTTTCAGAAAAAACCTTAATCATGAAAACTCAAGGATGTAAAGTGGTTAAATTTTAACAACAGCAATGACAAAAAAAAAATTCTTCAAATGACCAAGATAAAGACATTGAAAAATAAAGGAAATGAAAAATGAATAACACCAGTCTATTCAGGACTTAAAAAAAATACAGAAAAGAATGTAAGAATGTGATCTAAAGAGCAAAAGAGTTCAGAATTCAACTGAAGGTGACATATCAGAGCCCCATTACCAATGAAAAAAATGGCAACTTTTTAATAAGAGAAGCACTGGAAGCATTCCTCCAAAAAGAAAAATGGGATGAGAAGAGATTAATTCAAGATCACACTGGTTGTTGTTTTGTTGTTGTTACTGTTGTTGAGTCATGCCTGACTCTTCATGGCCCCATTTGAGGTTTTCTTGGAAAATATACTGGAGTGGTTTGTCATTTCTTCCTCCAGCTCATTTTACAGATGAGGAAACTGAGGCAAATAGGGTTAAGTGACTTGTCCAGAGTCACACAACTAGTAAGCGTCTGAGGCCAGATTTCAATTCAGGAAGAAGATTCTTCCTGTCACCAGTCCCAGTGCTGTATTTGCTGTGCCATCTAGATGCCATGCAAAACTGGGATTCCATCCTAAGGCTCAATCTTACTTGGTCTCCATGTTTTTTAGCCAGGCCTTTATAGTACTCATCTCACCTATAGGTACTCTCTTCTTTCTGCGACACCAATATATCCAAAGGTGTTCTTACTCCAGTCCTGCCTCAGTTACTTCCCATAACTTGGCCCTATTTGGTCTGTGGAGCCTGACCTCATTCCTCTGTGATGAATTGCAAGTGGCAAATGACTAAGATTTTAACCTCAATATCCTTCCAGGCTTCTCATACCTCCAGAACTTGTAGGAGAAAGTACTGTATCTGCATTAAGCAATTTAATCTCCAAGACAGGAATGAGGAAGCTATGCAGCTTTGTCTCACCCAGTTCCTATACTTTCCTGCCCAATCCAACATTGAAAATGGACATGTAGTTCCGTCTACTTTTATACAAAAGCTCTTCTTTTGTTCTCGGCTCTGGAGCTATTACAAAGCCACTCCCATAACCCCTAAGACCTGCTTCACTACACCATATGCTTATCAAACAATGAGAACTATTTCTCTCTCCTTTGCTGTTAAACATGAATACATAGCATTTATATAGTACTTTAAGGTTTATAAAGCACTTTAAAAATATTATCTCACTTTATACTCACAAGCCTGGAAACTAGGTGATGTTACCCTCATTTTACAGATGAGGATCCTGAAGTAGGCATTAAGTGACTTGTCCACAGGGTCACAAGGCTATTGTCTGAGAACACATTTTATCTCAGGTCCTTCTGACTCCTGGTCTATCCACTGTGCCACCTAGCTGTCTCTAATGAAGCTACAAGGCAGGCTTTGCTAATGGCAACTTGTCTTTCCAAAAAAAAAAAAGTTTCACATGCATCTGCAAGATGACACATGGTAAGGGCTTATTCTAGCATGAAAACAGCTTCCTGCTGAGCCATCTCATAAGTGCAATAGACTCTAACATGTGAAGAACTGAACAGAAGATGCTGAGTGAATATTAACTTGTTTCCTCCACCTCCAGGGTGGGCTTCAGAGTCTGGAGCCTTGCTGAGGAGGCTGTAGGTGAATCTGAAATTCTGCCAGGAACAAGCATGAGCACTTTAGTCCTTTATGAACCCATGATCACCAATGCAAGGGAGAATATCTTAGAATCCAGCCAAGGACAGGAAGAGCTGGCTCCTATCACTAACAGCCATGGGGTGAGGCCTATTCTTCCTCCCTTCCCTTCTCCTTGCTTTGCTCCCTCAACTAGGAACACTCTTAAAGATTCTAAAGAAGAGAACTGGTGCCATAACGCCATCTACTCCCTTACCTTCCTGAGGGCTCCTAAAAGAGAAGGAGCAGCTGTAACACACACCAGAGATGGGATTTTTTCCCGTAGAAAAATGGAAAGCTGCTGGAGACAGATCTGGAAATTTGTATGACCCCACCCCTTCTGCCTCCCTTGAAGCTCCTTGTTCTCCTCCTCAATCTGCAGGACTTCAATACCCTGGACAGAATATCCTTTAATTAATCTCATTTGGATGAAGAAATCTGCGCACAGGTTTTATCCTTTTCTTTTCCTAGCATAGATGAAGATAACACAGCCTAACACTTTTACAGATCTCTGTTGCAAATCACAACTTAAATAGCACTAATTCAATAGCATGTCTTTAGTGGGGTTAATACAAAAGTGGTAGAAAAGAATAACACCTTAGTTTTCTATAAAAGCATGAGGAAAGGTAAAGTGCAGCAGTGCCTGGCATTTGACTCTTTGCTCTGAAAACTCTGTGTTGGGGCAGCTAGGTGATACAGTGGATAGAGCACCAGCCCTGAAGTCAGGAGTTCCTGAGTCCAAATCTGGCCTCAGACCAAACACTTGACACTTACTAGCTGTGTGACCCTGGGCAAGTCACTTAACCCCAATTACCTAAAAAAAGAAAGAGAGAGAGAGAGAGAGAGAGAGAGAGAGAGAGAGAGAGAGAGAGAGAGAGGGAGAGAGGGAGGGAGGGAGAAAGAGAGAGAAAGAGAGAGAGAGAGAGAGAGAGAGAGAGAGAGAGAGAGAGAGAGAGAGAGAGAAAGAAAGAAAGAATGAAAGAAAGAAAGAAAGAAAGAAAGAAAGAAAGAAAGAAAACTCTGTGTCCTCAAACAAAGAAAAGCCAGGATGATAATCTCTCCTGGCCACATGTCCAAAGCTGAAAGGTGAACACTGGGCTCCCTCTTAAGAAAGATCCACAGTTCAGTCTGTCTGCAAAGAACCTAGTAAAAGCTACAATACAAAAGAGATGAAGATACAAGGTAATTCTCTGTGCCCCAGGACAGTGCTTAAAGCAGAAAATTGCTTGGGTCATCCTACTGGTGGCAAACTTTTACTTTGGTTTCTTGGATATTAACTGGTGCCTGTGTTATAAAATCAACATTTTGAGTCATATATATGAGAATACAATTTTGGGAAATCAGGCATTACAAAAAATTATATTCTACATAATCTATTTGGGCTTCTCCCTCAACCCACTGAAAAAAAATTGTGACTTGATTTCCAGTGACATTCTGCATCTGAATTTACTCTCTAGCTCTCTTGCTTGTCTCTGTATTTACAAAGCCAAACAGGAAGTGCACCACCAAGACTGCAAAGCTGGCATCATGCCTGCTATACTCCATCAGACTTTTTTTGACATCTGTTATGGAAGAGTCAGGGCTCTCCACTTCTTCTTTGTCTGTGCTCAGCACATAGAATATGACAGCAAAAAACTCTTGGAAACTCAAGAGAATGAAGTTGGAGCAGTTTTCAGAGTCATTGTCTTTCTGAAAAATGTTCATATTTAAAAAGACAGACACTTCAGCGGCTTCTAAGTCATGCCTCCTCAGGTCCTCCTCCTCAAACTTCAGTTTCCTGCCCTAGATCCCCTCAACTGCTAAGCGACATAGACCTATCAAGTGCTGATAGAGAAAGTTGTTGTCAGGTGTGATTAAATTGGAAAAGTAACACATGTATAGGGCAGTGGTAATTTTCTTTTTTTTTGTATTAAACTGTTTTAATGGTCTCAAAATTCTGTGACAGATTTTTGGTCAAGTTGTTTTCATTTAAAAATTGCTGATTTTAAAAACTAATAACTTAAAACTGTCATGAAACAAATGGTCCACAAAACATTCCTTTCTTCCTGAAGCTTTTATGATGCATTGTAGTCATTAACTAGTCTTTTACTATTAAACTTAAATGTCCAATTGAGACAAACACTTCTGAGACTGTTCTTCCACCACTGATTAAGACTGGGGTGGCAGGTGTTGTACAAAATATTCATTTAGCCTTCTAGGCCTTCTGGGCAGATCTGGTGACCTCCCAGCTCCAGAAGCTGGCTCTTTTCTTGTCCATTGCCTTGATGACACCAACTGCAACAGTCTGCCTCATATCATGAATAACAAAACAACCCAGAGCAAAATAATTGGAGAAGCTCTCCACACACATGGGCTTGCCTGGAACCATGTCAGCAATGGCAGCATCACCAGATTTCAGGAGTTTAGGGCCATTTTCCAGCTTCTTACCAGAATGACAATCAATCTTCTCCTTCAGCTCAGCAAACTTTCAAGCAATGTGAGCAGTGTGACAATAGAGAACAGGTGCATAGCCAGCACTGATTTGGCATGGATGGTTCAGGATAATGACTTGTGCAGTGAAGCCAGCTGCTTCTATTGGTGGGTCATTCTTGCTATCAGAAGCCACATTGCCACAGTGGACATCTTTGACAGACATGTTCTTGACATTGAAACCAATGTTATCCCCTGGCAGAGCCTCACTCAAAGCTTCATGGTGCATTTCCACAGACTTTACTTCAGTTGTAACATTGACTGAAGCAAAGGTCACCACCATGCCTGGTTTTAGAACACCGGTTTCCACTCAGCAATAGGTACAATACCAACACCGACAATTTTGTAGACATCTTAGAGGGGTAGACAAAGGGATTTGTCAGTTGGATGAGTTGGTGGCAGGATGCTATCCAAAGCTTCAAGCGGTATAGTTTCATTAACATTGCCATCCTCACAAGTGACTTTCCATCCCTTGAACCAAGGCATATTAGAGCTTGGCTCCAGCATGTTGTCACCATTCTGACCTGAAATTGGCACAAAAGCTACTATGTCAGGGTTGTAGCCAATTTTCTTAATATAGGTACTGACTTCCTTGACAATTTCCTCATATCTCTTCTGGCTATAAGGAGGCTCAGTGGAATCCATTTTTTTACACCAACAATCAGTTGTTTTACAGTTAGTGTGTATGCTAGAAGAACATGCTCATAGTCCACCCATTCTTCGAGATACCAGCTTCAAATTCACCAACACCAGCAGCAACAATCAGGACAGCACAGTCAGCCTGAGAAGTGCCTTGTAATTACGTTCTTTTTTTTTTTTTAAGGCAATTACGGTTAAGTGACTTGCCCAGGGTCACACAGCTAGTGAGTGTCAAGTGTTTGGTCTGAGGCTGGATTTGAACTCAGGTCCTCTTGACGTCAGGGCCGAAGCTCTATCCACTGCACCCCTAGCTGCCCCCTGTAATAATGTTCTTGATAAAAGTCTCTGTGTCCTGGAGAATCAATAATGGTCACATAGTACTTGCTGCTCTCAAATTTCCACAGGGAGATATCAATAGCGATACCTTGCTAATGTTCCACCTTTAGCTTATCCAAGACACAGGCATACTTGAAGGGGCCCTTTCCCATCTCAGAAGCCTCCTTCTCAAACTTCTCAATGGTTCTCTTATCAATTCCACAAAATTTGTAGATGAGGTGGCCGATAGCAGTGGCCTGCCAGCGTCTATGTGTCCAGTGATGTCAATGTTAATGTGAGTCTTTTCCTAGTAATTTTTGTGGAAGTTAAGTTTAGCAATGGTTTTCACAACACCTGTGTTCTGGCAGCAAACCCTTTGCAAAAAAAGTGCAGTGGTAGTTTTCAAAGCCTGGACAGGTTCTTTTCCTTTCTCCATCTGTTGTTTAAGGGAAGTGCATCAGGAGAACAGAGCACATGGTGAAGAGTGTGCCCTTGTCCTCTACTAAACTAATGGCTTTTTCACCTAAATACTCATTTCTGAAAAATTTGCAGAAATACTCCTTCCTGTGCTCCACAGAGAAGCCCAGGACCTCTACATGACATGGATTCTCCAACATAGGGCTAAATTGCCTCAGAGCAGTGAGTCTTGTAGTGAGCAGCATGGATGCTTCAGGGAGCATGATTTTCCTTAGTAAACTGCTCAGCAGAACGGGCACTGGCCTCTGCTGCTTCCAATCGTTGCACAGATTATATCTATGCTCATTACAAGGGAATTTCAGTTCATCTAAACCATCAATGATGGATGGAAGTCTCCCTGGCTGGGACATGATCTCTATCATGGGAGCCTGTGTTCCAGGCCAATCATTGGCAATTAAATAAGCAAAACTGAGTTCTCCCTCTCCTAATGGGTTCAGTTCTCTGCAAATGAGATAGAAAACATAGTCAAACTTGTCCTGGTAGAGTTTTCCCTCTGCCCAACATCACCTTGCTGGCTAGGGTGGTCTTCCCAATACCACCAGCCCCCTCAGCACAATAGTTTGGGGTTGGACACCTGTCTTTTGATCAGGATCAAATAAAGCTGACACCTTTACATGCTGTCCTAGCTTCTCAATGACCTTAGCATGTTCCCATCCTTGGACTAGGAGCTCATGCTGCTTCTGCTCCTTGTAATGGTACTCTGGAAGCAGCAGCAGCTATGTGAATTGTAGATAAAAGAGTTCATATTCCCCAGGAGTAGAGTTCCTGTCCCTCATGAGCTGGAATTTCTCTCTCATTCACTCTCGGTACTTATTTCTTTCATCTAAAGTCAACAAATGTAACACAGAGATATTCAAGATCAAGTCTGCTGGGGTATTTTTGGGGAAAGCCCCTCAGATGATGGTTTGGCCATCATTGCTCCCAGAGCCCATATGGAGGTGAAGTGCTACCCTGTTTCTGCCTTCATGTCACTTCTTCTGGTGTCTAAGGTAAATCTTAAACCCCTGTCTATACCTCAACTTAACTGATTTTTCTGAAACACAGCCTTGACAACATCACATCCCTGATTATAAGCCTTCAATCTCTCTTTCTTATCCATAGGATAAAGTCCAAGCTCAGACTAGAATTCAAGGTCTTTCTACTTGTCTATATTTATTTCCTCCCTGCTTCCCAAAATACACAATAAGCTTCCTACCTGCCTGGTTCATGCTATGCTACCCAAGTCAACAATTCAACTCCAGAAAAAATTTGTTAAATGCCTATGATATGGAAAATACTCTGCTAAGAGCTAGGGATATGAAGAAAGACAAAAACAGTCTCTGTCCTCAAGAAGCTCACAATCTCATAAGGGAATCAAGATGCAAACAATTATCTTCAAACAAGACATGTACAGGATAAATGGGAGATAATCTTATCAGGAAAGCACTAACATAGGGGACCTTGGGAAAGGCTTCTTATACAAGGTAGGATTTTAGCTGAGATTTTAAGGAGGCCAAGGAAGCCTGGAGATGGCGATTAGGAGGAAGAAAATTCCAAGCATAAGAAACAGTCAGTGACTATGCAGTGAGCAATTGGAATGTCTTGTGCTCACCACAAGCTATCTCTTCTCCTCTATCAAAATCTTGTCAGTTCCTCAAGGCCCAAGACAAATCCCACCATCTTATGAGGTTTCTTCTGATCATCCCAGCTACATGTGATTTTTCAGCTTTTATAGACTTCCTTTTTTTTTTACACTCATTTGTATCTCCTCACTGACTCCCTTATATTTATTTTTACTCTTTGGAGGCAATGACTCTGTGCTATAATCACAGAATTAATAGAGTTGCAAAGTGTCCTGAGAGATTATCAAATCAAGTATTTGCTTGGAAGAGTCATTTATTCTCATCTCAATGAAATGCCTATGGTGTACAAAGCACTGTAGGAAGTTTCTATAACATCCCCAACAAAAGCTTGTCCAGGCTTTTTATAATGACCACCAGTGATGGGAACTCACCACATAACAATGCTGCTCCTCACTTTCTGGACAGCTCTAAATAGCTGGAAGTCCTTTCTTTCACTGAGCTGCAACCTGCCTTCCTGTACATTCTACTCCCTGGTCCTAGTTCTGTCTTCCAGAGTGACTTCATGCCTTTCTAGTCTACACTGTGAATTTCCTCCACCATGCCTCAGGAATCATTTCTTTCTGGAAGCTCTTCCAGCCAAGGAATTAACACAATGGAAGCACCCTCCACTTTCCAGGCCTTTTCCTCAGAATGAATAGCTCCTCTAAAAACTTGCATTGAAGGAAGGCACTCAGGCTAGCCACTTCTTCATTCCCCTCTAAGCTACATTCAGAATTTTCTCTGCCATGCACCAAGGCACATATCTCTCCCCAAACCCACCTTTTCAGTTTCTTTTCATGCGTCTTCTTCCCCTGTTAGATTATAAGCTCCTAGAGTGAGGAGACTCTTTCTACTTTCATTTGTTACTCTCAGCTTACACAGTGTCATGCAGCAAGCACATAGCAAGCACATAATAGATGCCTGTTGACTGACTGACACATGGTAAGTCTGAGCCCTTTCCCAAAGGGTTCAAATAGTCGACCTCCTCATGTAACATCCAAATCTGTATATCTAACTCTAGTCTTTCTCCTGAGCTCCAGTACATCACCAACTGCCTATTGCACAGTTCACATTGAATTTCCTGAATTTCTCTAGGAATCTCAAACCCAACAAATTCACAACTGAACTAATTATCTTTTCCCCAAACATCCTTCTTCCAACCTTCCCCATTCTGTTGAGTACACCATCATCCTTTTATCCATGTGGTTTTGCTACCCCTGTGTCATCCTCTACACTGTCTCTCACCCTACATGTTCAAGAAATTGCCAAGTCTTGTCAATTCTACTTCTTTAACATTTTGCACATTTGTCAGCTTCTCCCTACTCACATGACAATACTCTCATTCAGGTCCTATGTTAGGGTTGTTCAAACTTTAACTTCTATAATGCTTTCTTTCCATTAGTCTAGTCCCTAAAGTTCTACATACTCTTTTCTTATTATATATAGAAGGATATGATTTGCATTTTAGAACTGGGTAACTACAACAGCTATCCTTCCTCATTGTAAGGAATGTAAATAAATCAATATCACTTGCTGTACAATACATGCACATGCCTATGCACAGGTCCACCTACATTAATAATTGAAGCCTTTATTCCCCAATTAGGATTCTTGTGTTTTAGAAGTCTGTCTGCCTCCCACCCCCAACCCCATCCCACTGAATGAGAGTTAGCATTCATATATAGAATTTCAAGAGAAAAACAAAAGAAAAACAAAAGCCAAATAAGCCACAAACACATCTATAAGGCCTTTGCTCCAACATTTTAAGAGGATGATCCCATACTACTCTTCTGGCACTTGCCAAATAATTATCATGTATCCAGGAGGAGATAACTTTCCCTTGCTTTTTTTTTTTTACTCCTAAAATCAGCAGAGAAAATCTCTCTTTCTTTGCCTAAGAATAATCCCTTAGATAAAGCATCTACCTGCACCCAGGCTTCACAGAGATGACTGTACAACCTTGAGTGAGTTAGAAAAGTATTCCATTTCCACACTTTGATCTCCTTCAACCAATTACTGTGCTCAAAAAATTCCCAAAGCAGAGATCTGAAAGCAGAGGGAGCAGATAATCCCACAAATCACTATACTAACCCCAGAAAAGGAGGGAGAGTCTGTAAAACACAGAGCTCGGGCCCTTCTTGTATGAAGAGGAAAGTTTGTATGCTATCTTTGGAGCTTCCACAGCAATGTAATCTCAGGAAATGCCAAACCATCATCCCAATCTGGACACAGAGTTGGAGGCCTATAGCTTCCCATCTTTTCTCTAGATAACTGTAAGGAATATCCGTTAGCAAATCTCCTTTGAACACTGCCTCATGAATGTGTTTCCCTTTCCTCTCCCTATTTCACATACAGGGCTACAACATAATTGCTCATTTGGTCTGATCAGGTCATTCTTCCCATCAATAAATTCCAGCAGTTCTCTATTACCTCTGCCATCAATATAGTGTAGTTCTGACCATTTCACCTTATTACTAAATAAGGGCACTGGCAGTATTTTTCCATCTTGTCCTCTTAGAAGGGCATATTATCTGTTATAACCCACAAAACTTCACTTAACGGTTGGGGAATTGTTCCAGGTTCCTTTGACACATTCCATTAAATTTTATAGAAGGGGACTCATTTATAGATAATCTGAGGTCTGGGGTGACTGATGAAAAAAATGAACTGAGCCTTGTTTTGCCTACAGCCAATCCCATTACCTTCTATATACCTTCCCCTTCTTCATGCTTTTTCTTGCTTCTTGGAAATATTTTCAGTCTCAGCCCTTCTGTAGATATGAATAAATATGGAAATTAGCCTAAGAAGGACTCAGCAAAGTATTTAAAGCAATACTGAGGAATAACTTCAGTACCAGCTCTCTATGCAATATGGAAACCCCTAACTGCCTCCAGGTTGGACTAGGTTCATTTCCAACTCCAATAGCCAGTGAAATTTTGTAAAATACTCATCTCAAGGGCAACTAGGGGTCCATTGGTTATAATGCTGACCCTGAAGTCAGGAAGGCTCATCTTCCTGAGTTCAAATCCAGCGTTAGACCCTGTATGCTTAGGTTTCCCTATCTCTAAAATGAACTGGAGAAGGAAGTAGCAAACCATTCTAGTCTCTTTGCCAGAAAAACCCCAATGACGTTATAGAGTCAGACACCACGTAAAACAATAAAAAAACCAACCAACGCACCTCAAGGATGGTCAGAAGGCCAAACGACATATTTTTTAAATGCTTTGCAAACTTTAATGTACTATAGAATTGTCATTTATCATTATCAGTCAGTTATTTGCATCTTTTTCAAGATACAAAGTCCTGAGAAAAGTCATTAAATCACTAGCCTGTTTGTAATATATAAACATATACATATACATGCACATACATATACACACGTACATAGTATGCAAATGTACATATATGTGTGTATATATATATATGCATATATATATATATACACACATATAATTCCTTTATATTCAATGTTCTGCAGTCTACTGAACTACTGAAGAGGTAGATAAGATCACTGCTTTTTATAATTGAATAACAGAGTTGGTCTATGAACTCACCTTCTGCGAATAGTCTTCAGAACAACTCCAGTGTTGCCATGAACCCCCCTTTTTCCAGCTGGTAGAAGAGGTAAATTAGCCTTTAAAAAGAGTCTTATGATTATTTTATTCCTACAAATATATGTCTTATTCTAAATTATCTGCTACTAAATGATAAAGTCTCATCAATCTATTAATTTGCTTAATCTATTATCTATGTTAGTCTGGCTTAGCTGTTAGGGCTAGCTTTTCCTAAAGAAGTGAGCTTAATGTTATAATCAAACTAAAAATAAATCAAAGTAATCAATACTGAATTCCTTTTTACTACTCAGAACTCAGTATAGACTCCAGGGAATTGTCTTAAATTCAACAGCCTAATCATACTCTTCCTGGGACATATTCCTTATGTGAGATACAATACCTGATCAAAGACTGACTCATTCCATTTCATCTTCTCCTTTTCTCAACCATAGCTGAAATCTCCTCTATTAGCTCCATTCTCCCAGATCCACCATCTCTCCTTCTCCACAACTCTTTCCCTCAACTATAGTGCCTCCTGAATATTCTCTTGCCTCCAGAAAACTCTTCTCAAGGCCCAGATGCTCTTCCTAGGACAGTTATTGAAATTCACTCCTTCCATCTTGATTGTTAGAAGAAGAGAGAGGTGACCTTCCCTCCGGATTTCAGACCTATATCATATATCCCAATAGATTCCTCTTATCTTAGAGTCAAAAGTTATCAGTCAATCAACAAGTATTTATTAAGTACCTATCCGGTGGCTAGCAGTAGGCTTGTCAGCTGAGGATGCAAACAAAAATAAAATAGTTCCTGCTCTGAAGAAGCTTGCATTCTTTAGAGGTGAACTACCTATAAATGCAAAATTAATGCAGAGTAACTACAAGGTAATTTTGGTGTTGGAGAAGCCCCCAAACTGAGCACATCAGGAAAGGCCTCATGTAGGAGCTAAAGCAAAGTAAGATTTCTAAGAAGCATATGTGAAAATGGAGTGCATGGTCTATCTAGGAGCTGTGAATATGTCTCTAGCTACTTAAAGTTCATCTTTATTTCTTTAAGGGATCACTTTGCATATGAATCTATACAAATATTTTGTAGGTTTTGATAGCCTGATCTCCAAATATTTTATGAATTTTGTGATTATTTTTAATGGAATTTCCCCTTGCATTACGCTTTGGATTGTTTTATTAGTGTAGAGAAATGCTGTTGATTTTTATGGACTTATTTTTTAGGAAGCAACTTTGCCAGTTTGTTTTGATTAGTATGGTAAGTATAGATAAAGAAAGTCTTTAAAAAAATCACAAAATAGTATCTTCTAAATAATCTCTGTTATTGCCCTGTAAATTTTGTTCCCCCTCCTCAACTCCTTTTATTTCTATTGTGTCTCACTCTTAAAAATATCATTTTCTGTGGGTAGAGAGGATGATATTGACTCATGTTGAAATTTTCCCAAATATTTAGTGATGTGGTTTATTTCTGTCCCCAGTCTTTCTTCCCCATTTACTGTGAAATCTGGGTTGATGCCCTCCTACCTTCCTGGATGATCTCCAGTGCTCTAAACACCAAGAATGTCTGCAAATTATATTCATTGTACAGTCTTAATCTCCCATCACTGGACAACTCACAGCAAATAGGAAAGGAAGATAGAGGAGAGGAAGGGAGGAAAGGAAGAAAGGAAAGAATGAAGACTTTTTTTGTTTGTTTTTTTTTTCAATTTGGGGAAAATTTGTATTTCGAATTCAGGAAAGGAAAGAAGGAAGAAGGGAGGAAGGAAGGAAGGAAGGAAGGAAGGAAGGAAGGAAGGAAGGAAGGAAGGATGGAAGTACAGTAGAAGGAAGGAAGGAAGTTAGGAATGGAGGGAGAGAGTAGGGGAGAGGGTGGGACTTTGGGGGAACATAGAGGTGGGAGGGGGAAGCCCCAGCCTGCAGGCCGTCCCTACCCTGCAGTCCTTAGTCCTTGGCTTGCTCCCACAGTTCCCTCAGGCCCATCTTCTTCCAGATGCTCAGAGCCAGCTCCCAGGCCTCCTGCTTCCCAAGAGAAATGACCTGGATCTCGGTCGTTTCTGTTCTACCGGCCCAGCTCCTGGAGGATGCCCGGCCTAGAGGGGTGGTCCTTTAGGTACAGCTTGAATTCTTCTGCTCCTCCGGCGTCAGGTGCTCCAAGTGCCGAGTCAGCCAGCAGCCGACACCCTCGGCCATCGAGCCCCCTAGGCCCTTCCCCAGGCTCCGGCTCCCACCTGGTCCTCTGATGGCTTCAGTTTCCTCCTCCGTGTGGAGAGGCCTCGGGGCTCGCTTCGGGGTCTCCATGCCGTTCTCCCTGCGCCCTCTCCTTCAAAGATCAGCCTTTTTTCCACCGGTCTCCATCCCGTGCTCCCAGATCCCGAGCTTGCCAGAGACTGCTTGTAACAAGAGCAAAGAGAAAGGGAAAGTGAAGTGGTCCAGGGGCGGACAGCATACAGAGCTTGGCCACGCCCCTTGGAACTCGGAGCCAATGAGCAAGGGGCCCAGCCCGCGGGACTTTGGGTTTCCTCTGAGACCCAGGGCCAAATATGAAGAGGAGAAGCCTGATTGTGCTCAGAGCCGGGCTTTTTTTTTTTTTTAACTGTTAACTCTTAGTGGCCTGGATGACTCCCAGCCGATGGTCAGAGGAGCCGGGGACCCTGGGGATGGCACTGGGGGGGGGGGTGTGGAGACCGTATGACTCCCTTCCCTCATAACATTCCAGGCCAGATATTTTAATTTTCCCTTCTTCTAGCCTAGCCTGCTGTTTACATCTACTTAGTGACTTTGCATTGAAGGACCTGGGTTCAAATTCCACCTAGGACAGTTATTTGCCTTAAGCAAGTCACTTCACTTTGATAGAATTTAGTTTCCTCATCTGTAAAATGCAGGACACGAGCTGGACTAAATGGCCTCTGCCTTTTTACAAGTAATATGTGTGAAGCACTTAGCAAAATGTCTGCCACATTGGGGCAGGCAAGGGCTTCATAAATGTTTACTGAAAATACTAGCAAGGATATGACAGCAACATGTCACAAGAAGTTTACACTACAGCCTGGAAGGATTTAAACCAGGAATGCAGGGTTGGTTCAATGTCAGGAAAACTATCAGCATAATTGACATTATTAATAACAACAGAAGTCACATGATTATCTCAATAGATGCAGAAAAAGCCTTTGAAAAATACAAAATCCATATTAGTAACACTAGATATCATAGGAACATATGGAGCTTCCCTTATAATGATAAGTAATTCATCCATCTCTCAACTTCATGCATTTTCATGGGCTGTCTCCCAAGCCAGGAATTCTCTCCCTCCTTATCTCCACTTCCAGGCTACTCTGGCTTCTTTCAGGTCCCAGCTACAATTTTGATTTCTGTAAGAAGGATTTCCATATCCCCCTTAATGGTAGTGCTTTCCCTAGCTTAGCATCTCCATTTTCCCTTATATGTATCTTATTTGTACACAATTGTTTGCACATTATCTTCTCTCATCAGACTTTGAGTTCCTTAGGAGCAAGGACTAGAATTTTTTGTTTGTTTGTTTGTTTGTTTTTGTTTTGGCCTTTGTGCCCCAGCTGGTGTGGTGTAGGACAGAGCAGTGAGGAAAAACGGAGAAAGAAAAGACAGGCTAGGTGAGTCTTAGAGGTTAATGCTCAAAACTAGTTTACTTCAGGAGTTTTCTCATTATATTCTCATAGAAAAACAACTTTGTACTGTGAGAAATGATTTACAAGTTCTGTGAAATGCTCTTACTAACATACACAAACTAAGCAGCTAAAGATCATCTTTGTCTCTTGAGAAAGCAGTTACATTGCCTAAGTTCATATCTATTGTTTTCCTGTCCAGTTCTTGGTATTGTCTACCGCAAGTCAGCCACCTGGCTTCAAGGCTGGTCATGAGTAAGGACTTCAAATCAAGAAACAGTAACAAACAGGAAGTGGCGTAAAAGTCAAGGGAGAGTTTACCCTGAGGCAAGCCTCTGTATGTACTGACCCCTTAAGTCACTAAGGAGTTAGAGATTTTCCATAGGACCCTGCTCCTGACACCTTTGTATCCTCAATAGATGGCACATAGTAGGTGCTTACTTAATAAGTGATTGTTGCCCTGACTTGAGTGGACCTGGCCATAAATCTTTCCCTCAGGTCCTTAAGTTCATTCCAGGACAACCCCTGCCCCCATCTCCATGGAGAGATTGGGAAACTAGGGAAGGACTTCGAGAGTGGTTAACAGGGAGGGAGAAGATATGAATCTGGGAGGCAGAGGTGAGAAAAGGAATCCAGGGAGGAAAGGACAGATGTGGGAAAGGATGAAAAAGAGATAAGTGAGAATAGGTAAGGGGGCACGGAGAGAATAGGGGTCACAGGGGAAGAAATGAAAAAGGAAAGGGAAAAGATGGGACCTAAAAGAAGGGCCAAATGGAGGGCTCTGTTGAGAGAGGGAAGCTGCAATTCGTAGGGAGACCCTTATCCTTTAGTACTGCTGCCCTAGCTCGCTCCCGCAGCTCCCTCAGCTTCATCCTCTGGAGGATGCTCAGAGCCAGCTTCCAGGCCTCTGGATTCCCAAGAAAACTGACCAGAAGCGTCTCCCTTTCAATCCTACCTGTTCTCTCCCAAGACTCTAGGGGATGCCCCGCTTATGGGGATGGTCCTATGTAGATAGCATGGATATCGTCGGGTCCTCTGATGCCAGGTTCTCCAAGTGCTGAAGCATCCGGCCGTGGATCCTCTCGACTATCTCTCCCCCTTGTCTGCCCTTCCCCGGGCTCAGATTCATGATAGAGTCAGACCCTCCTCCATTTCACCCAAGCCTAGGACATGCATGAGTGTCTCTCCCCTTCCTCTTGGGTGATCTTAGCCACATTGCCTAACCATTCTGGACTTCAGTGTGCGCCTATGTCACAGATGGGATCTCTGAGGTTTCTCTGTCTCTCCCTACACTGTCTTCCAGGTGCCTTCTCCCCCTAACGATCCCCTCTCTGCCCACAACAGCCCCTACCCTGAGCTCTGGTGTGCTTCCACTCCCCGGCTCAACCTGACCTTCCTTGGACCTTGCAGACTTTGTCTTCTGACCAATTTGGACTTAGGTGAAAAGGAACATCTGGTATCTCCCCTCCCCCCTCCCTGCACTGACACAGTCAGAATTACATGGAGAAAAGGAGTGGGGAGGGTATTTAAGATTGACAGTCTACATTCAGGGGAGGGTTAGATTCCTGAGCTTGGGAGAATGTTTAATTTTAAAAGCTCAGACTTTTCCCAGCAGCTGGTTGTAGGAGACAAGGAATGAATGGAGGGGATAAGTGGTGCTGCCTTCTGAGCAGTCTCACTCTTCAGGCCCAGCTCAGCCTCCTAGCCGGATGTTTACATCCTCCCTCCTCTCTCCAACATTTACTCAGATCAAGATTGGAAGTTCAGCACAAATGAAGTCAGTTCTGCCCACCCCTCATCTTCTCCACTCAAAATCAGTAGATACTCATTTAATGCAGGTTTCCTACACCCCAGGGTGCCTAGGGTCTTGTTCTTAATTCTGACACTGGCCTTTCTCTGCCATGGTATGTCTTTTTCTATGGCTACCATCTTGCAAAGCTTTTCTGCCCAATGCAGGTCAGAAGAGATGCATCTCTCCTTTCCTACACTGAGATATGGTTTCATCCTATGAGTGCCTTGGAGGACTTGGTTCTTTTTTTCCACCCTTCTTTGTCCCTCTTACCATGAGATATTGTCTTGTGATGAGATATGCCTTCCCTGACCTAGTGGACCTGGCATTGAATCCTCTTTTTGATGTCATTCTACTATAAGAATCAAGAGGAAGATCCTGCCTTGAACGTTTAGACAAAGGTAGAAGCAACATCTTTGGTAGTATAAAGACTATGAAAGTCACTTTCCTCAAGCACAGATGCTGACCATATCCCTGCCCCTTCCCTGACTGCTTTTAAAGCTCTACATAAGCTGTTCCTATTGAGGTTCAGTGAACCATATGTTGAGGTTTGGGGTTCTGAGACCCTGAAATAGCAACACCTGCCAGAGTGAATTTGACCCAAGTCTTCTTTCAGCCAAAAACAAGGTTTATTAAAGATTCACCATATTGGTCAAACTCTCAAGGAATCTGAACATTTGTGCTATTGGCTAGATTTTAAGAATCTGAGGCCTTGGCTAGACTAATAGAATCTGAGCACCTTAATGGAGGCAAGACAGACCTTATATACAGAAAGACTGGGAGGAATGTAGGAGTGGCCAAGTAGTTTGAGGTGATTGGAGGAGGGGCCTTGAAGAAGGGGTGTAGGGAGGATCTTGATGGGAGTAGTCAGTAGACTGGGATGACTAGAGGAGGGGTCTGGATAGGATCAAGGGTGGGTGGGAAGTGGGGGGATGTGTGTGGGGTGTGGGCCACTGGGAGGTAACAATGGAGGGCTAGGCTAGGGTAAAAGAGAATTGGGAGGTTGGGGTAGGCTATAATGAAAGGTCAGTTGATAGGATTATAGCCTCAGGCTGATGGTAAAGACTTCCTTGACCAAGTGGCAGAATTCAAGGAGATTCCAAGGTGGGGTTTTCCTAGGGCCTATAGACAAATGGACCTCAAATTCTTTTTTGGGTAAGGGGCAAAGGTCTTGGCTTGGGCCCATACCCCATCATTCCTGACTGCTTTTAAAGCCCTACATAACCTGTTCCCACTACCTCTTCAGTTTCCTTACAGCTTATGCCCCACTCCCACCCACCACCCCCAAACTCTGTGATCCAGTTAAACTGGCCTCCTTTCTGTTTCTGGATCAAGAGACTTCAACTCCAACGTGGTCATTTCTCCTCAGGTCTCTCTGAAACCACTCTTTCGGCATTTCTTATGTCCATTATGTTAATATACCATAATTTATTTAGTTAAGGACATCTCCATGGTTTCCAGTTATTTCCCACTACAGAAAGAGATGTTATAGATA